CCCCAAAACCCCAAAACCCCAAAACCCCTCAATCTGCAATTTATTGCAAGTTAGTGTGAATTATTATTTCGAGATGTTAGAATATATAAATAATTAAGGATTGAAATGCATTAAACAAATTTCGATAGTTATCATCACCAAACTATCTAAGTTCCTTCCTTTATGTCCACCACACTAGACCCTCGTTCAAATTACAGGTATCGATAACGAGGCGAGAATTAAGAAGTAAAAAGGACTTCATTAGTCATGATGGATAATTACCTCAATTCTACACATGACTCTAATCTAATTAAACGAATAATGGAGAAAAGAGAAAGAAATTTATCTTATACATCGATGAGCAGACATAAAAATTAAAAGCTCGGCCAAAACAATTCCTAGAAAAATTCTCCTTAGGGCCAGCTGCCAGTTATTAAGTTGAACTTGAATGATATTACTAAACGCTGTGATTCTCAGTGTAGGTTATTATAGGTGATTTATTATTTTAGATAATAGTACTAAAATGAAGAGCGTAAATGCCAGTCCCATCAACTGAGAAACTCACCTTTCAACTGCTGCATCCTCTCATGTTTCGAATTGGAAAGGGAAAAGTGACAGATTCACTGGAGGATTCATGAATTTGATGTACTAGGATAATAGCCTCCAAGCTGTAGCTCGACAAAAAAACTTAAACAGTATCCGTCTTTCTAAATTGAAGCAGATTGAGGAGATGTAGAGAAAATACGAGCTTGAAATGGCTGAGAAAAGAGAAATAGCAAGCTATTATTTCCAAACTTATGGATGTAAATACTTTCAACTCCTAACTCTAATAATTTCAAAATTTAGTGTTTTATGATGAGAAGCTGCTTAAAAACAGATCCAAAGGTGATTTGATAGTTTACTTTTAGAAGCTACTTATCTAAAGAAAACAGCGATTCGCTGCAAGGACGATACAAAGGGCATTCAGGTAGTACAGGATTTACAAGTTTCTTAGAAAAGCCAGGGTAATTAATACTTTCACAGTCTATTTCTAAACAAACTATTTAATCAATTTTGAGTTATTAATTTTTGCTGTAGCTAAGACTTAGAGTTGTTGCTGCTTGTAGGATTCAGAAGATGTTTAGATCCACTAAGCAAGCTAGATATGAAAGAGACTTGTAAAACAAAAGGAGGTAAAGAGCTGCTGTAGTTGTGCAGAAGTTTCTCAAATGCTATTTGTATAACATAAATTTATTTCCTAAAAGTTTATTATAGGGTTCGTAATAGGATCTAACCAATTGTCAGAAGAAGAATATTATAGAGAAATTTCAGCTATTTTAGTTAAATAAGGCTACATCTTATGACTTCTGCTTAGATAAAGATCAGATATCATTGGTTCAAGTACAAGAAAAACAAGCTTAAGAAAAAGAAGGTACTTTAGTAGAGGAAATTTTAGCAAGCTATCAGAGCCAGAGTAGATACCGGACTAAGTGGAGCTGTGAGGAAGAATTCTAATCAAAAAAATAATTATAGAAATTAATTGGCTGTTAATGCTAGCTTAGATTCATAAGATATTCCCATTACTCCTGGAATAGGGCAAAGTCCGAATCTAAGAAAGCTAAATTAGTAGATTTCATAGTATAGCAGAGAAAACGAAAGTCCAATGAGCCAAAGCAAAGATGAATACCAGGGCTAAAATTCATAAGCATTTAATAACTCATTTAAGTATGGTATATCAGGGAATCCCCTTAGTCCTAATGAAAGTTCAGACCATAAGAGTGACCCTAAGTTTTTATCTTAAAGTAAAAAGAAGGGAAAAGATAAGATTCCCTCACAATTTTCAAAGACAGTAACTAAGACTCCAATAGTACAGATATCTAAGAAAAAGGAAAATCTTGTTATGAAGCAACCACCTAAAGGAGGTTATCTTTCGACTAAAAAAATATCTGACTTTCACTTAGACCTCTCAGATGTGAAAAAAGAGAATGCAAAAAATGAAAAGTCTAATTCAAACAGAGTTATAGCCAAGAGAAATGTTACGTCTTAGTTATAGCCTTAGTTTGATGAAAAAGATATCAAGAAATCGTTTACACTTCCTGAGGAGGATGAATCAAGTATATCTAAGAATACGACTGAAGAAAAGGAAAAGTTTCAGATGCCTTCAATAGAAATAGATAAATTCGATGATATGCCTCTTAAGGCAACTGTCATAATGACAAGTGGAACTAACACTCTGCATAAGCTAAGTCTCAATCCATTGGATAACATCATCGAGTAAGATGCAGACGACTGTTCTCCCTTGGTTAAAAATGCTCCTTGTATCAATTATGTGATTGTAAATGAAAATTCAGGCTTAGAAGATTCTTAATAAGATCCTTAGGATTTAGGTTCAAAGCAAAGCACCATGGACTATGTTAATATGGAGAGAGTGGGTACATTCGAGCAACTTTAATATGAACTATTGGAATAAGAAAAACTTTAGGATCAAGAATAAGAGTAGGAAGTTCTTCAATCAATGCGATAGTTGCCTCTTAAAGTATATGAACAAGATTAATTGGTAGAGGAGGACTATGAGGATGATGAGCAAGAAGTTTAGGCAGAAGATTTGTAAAGTGATTATTGAAAATGGAGTGAGGATTACAGTAAACTAGATATGAATAAATATTTTAAGGAGTCAAATGGGGAATGGCTCTAACTAGAATGAATGACTATAAACTGAATATTTAACTATCTAATCATTATATTTTTGATTCTATTTATCAGTATAATCTGGCTGTTAATTAAATTATACTTGATGGGGTTTTGGGGTTTTGGGGTTTTGGGG